ATTTGATTAATCAGTTATATTTGACTAATCAGTTATACTAAGAGCATTTATGTTTGCCAGTAAATCTTTAACATTATCCTGAACCTGATCTGAGGTATTAGATAAGGAAAGACGTGAGCAAAAATTGCTCAACGTTTCTACCTGTTCTCGCATATTCTTTTGCTTTTGTAGATATGCCATCAACATATTAATTACATTATGCATCTCTTCCTTGATCTCAAGCATATCCTCATTATTACAGTTTCGTTGTAACATTCTTAATTTCGTTTTCGCTAGTTGCAGTGGATTATAACCATACGAATCTAATGCGAGAACGTCAGTACCAGCTGTTAAGAGCAGTGTCACTACCGATAGTTTGCTGTTAACCGTGGCTAGATGCAACGGCGTATTTCCTATACAATCACGCTGATTCGGATCTGCACCGTTTTCTAGTAATAAACGAACTATTTCTGTATAACCCCTGCAACAAAAAACACAAAGTTAAATAGGTAACTTAAACCATTATTATTTACAGAATATCTTAAGTGGGGGAAATACATATTTATGACTTCATTAATAAATTGATTGAAGAAACTCTACTTTCAAACATATTGTTTATCTTATAAGAAAATATACATAGTATATGTCAAGGTATGTGTTGTTTCAGATTGTATATATATATATATATATATATATATATATATATATATAATCTGAAACAACACATACCTTGACATATACTATGTATATTTTCTTATAAGATAAACAATATGTTTGAAAGTAGAGTTTCTTCAATCAATTTATTAATGAAGTCATAAATATGTATTTCCCCCACTTAAGATATTCTGTAAATAATAATGGTTTAAGTTACCTATTTAACTTTGTGTTTTTTGTTGCAGGGGTTATACAGAAATAGTTCGTTTATTACTAGAAAACGGTGCAGATCCGAATCAGCGTGATTGTATAGGAAATACGCCGTTGCATCTAGCCACGGTTAACAGCAAACTATCGGTAGTGACACTGCTCTTAACAGCTGGTACTGACGTTCTCGCATTAGATTCGTATGGTTATAATCCACTGCAACTAGCGAAAACGAAATTAAGAATGTTACAACGAAACTGTAATAATGAGGATATGCTTGAGATCAAGGAAGAGATGCATAATGTAATTAATATGTTGATGGCATATCTACAAAAGCAAAAGAATATGCGAGAACAGGTAGAAACGTTGAGCAATTTTTGCTCACGTCTTTCCTTATCTAATACCTCAGATCAGGTTCAGGATAATGTTAAAGATTTACTGGCAAACATAAATGCTCTTAGTATAACTGATTAGTCAAGTATAACTGATTAATCACGAACAAGATATGCTATTGTAATATTATACACATTATTCGTATAAATTTTAATAACATTTTCGTTAAAAACTTAAAAAAATATATATGTCTCTTAT